TAGCTGGGAGTCATCAGAACCTTAAAGCATCAGGCTGAGAATGTTCCTTCTGATGCAAAGGGAAAGGAGAAGGAGCATACTTAGATTAGGAAAGCACTGAGGAACTGTGGCTACTTCAACTGGGATCTTCATCAAATCAACGCAAAGATCTAAAACGACGCACCACGGAAAACAGAACGGAAAAACAGGAGGAACAACAATGTTATTCCACAGTAGCTGGTTTGTCTGAGAAACTCAGATGTATGATGTTTTGGATTTTCTCCAAATGTAACATACCAGTGCTCTTCAGACCCATAAAAAACCAACACACATGTGAAACAACATTGTATATTCAATGCAGCAAAGAGTGCAGAGACTAAACAACAGCTTCACAAGCGTATGGCTCAACACAAGACAGCAGTTCATCAGGACAAACTTTAACAGCCACCTCTAAACAGAGGAGGGGGGCTACGACGTCACTTATCTTTAAGACCCTAAAAGAGAAGTCCAGCTGTTGTCTATTCAAGACACATGTTTTAATCATTTAACCATAGAAAATAAAGAGTTATAGGAGTCGTCGGAAACTCAAGACTGAGATGATATACGTGGTCTTTACAAGTGTACGTATAATTTTGTTTACAACTCTACATGACTTTGTATGAAACTGCATTTACTGTGGTAGAATAACATGGTCCATAAAGCGTATTCCTAGTTCCAGCAAATCCCAACAAGCTCCCTTCGAACAATTCAGACAGGAGATCTGAGGACCTCACCCTTAGAAAGACGGCAAATAAGTCTGTTTCACAAAATGTTGAACTTTTCTGCTTCTCTATATCCTACGCAAAGTTTTAGCTTTGTCTCTGCGCTCCCCAGACAGTCCTGCTAACTGGGCACAGGCTTTTAAGACATCATGTTGAAATATCAGAACATCTCAGCAAGTGTTAAGTTTAGTTGCTAACAGCGAGCCGTGAGGAAGCAGCCACAGATTACCTCAAAACAGTGTCTGGAAAACTAACAATGCTTTAAGGTATGGGCCCTGGTGAGCAATGAAAGATATACAACAATAACTAATGAAAAAAACAGGGAAGAACAGCAGACAGAATTGCAAGAGTAGAGAAAACAAAAAATTATGGATCACACAGTAAACAGAGGATGGTGTCCTTGTGCCCTGAGACACTGATGCCATCACTTCTATTGCTATTACACATATTCAGTTCCAATAGTCCTGATCAATGAAGAAGGCTAGTTGTGAATGACAGGTTTCCTGCTATCGCATGCTGTTAAAATATAACATTAAATAGGTACTACTTCCAAATGTCAGTTATTCGATTTCCTTGATTACCAATAATTGGCAATGGCATCAGACCTGAAAAACCTATTTCGGTTGATCCCTAAGAAGCACTATCACAATAAACACATAAAGTGTTATGCTATGGGCTATCTGTTCCTTTTTTTTTCCTGCACACTTTTCTCTTTCCATCATTTTGATAGAAACTGTTCTCTACTGGTCATGAATGTATGCATGTCTAAGTCCAGATAAGCACTTTTGACTTGCTGTACAGTCACTAAAGGGGTTTCTTCACCGTTCAAATGATTTTTCACTCATCCATGGTTGCTCCTTGGTCTGCCATTAATTTAATTTTCCTGAGTGCACCCAACTACCTTTTTGCCAAATACCTCTAAATCTCTTTCATATACTTTTTTTTTTCTTTTAAACTCCATACTGATATCATTTTCACTTGCATGGTCACTTCTCTGCTACTTATACTGACAATTCTGAGCCATATGTGAACTCATTTTGCTCTTGAACTAATGTTAAAACAGCACACTGCTGCCGAAGAAACAATTAGTAGCCAAGTGCAATTTTACTTTGAATGCCTGGAATCTGGGGACTATTTGATGTTAAATGGGATGTATGTAACACATGTGTCTCCAGTATTGATGCAGACCTTCTCTAAATAAATCTGAGACTTTCATTAAGTATTCATTGTTTTATTTCAAACTGAATGTGCTGAAGCACAGAGCTTGAAGAGCAAAAAATATTAATTGTCCAAATATTTGTGACAGTGAACTCAGCCAGATTGTATTTGCTTACATTAAACAACAGTGGTTGACTCAACGGCGTTGATAGACAGTTTCATCTGAATGTAATTGCCCGCTCAGCTGTGTTGCCACCATTTAACTCAGGGGTCGGCTCCGGAGCGCATGCGGCTCTTTCATACCTCTGCTGCAGCTCCTTGTGGTTTGGGAAAATAAATAATGAGTATTTCATTTTAGTGTACTTTTAGTTCATCAGGTTTTGAAACTTAATTCTAAATTTGAAGATTGCAGTGATCTTGTAACATTACAATAATACGTGTTTAATGTTTTGTTGCTCAAAATATGCGTAACAACCGCCGATGTGCGACACCCTCCGGCACACGCAGTGTTGCCAACTTGGCGACTTTCTCAATCCTCTTGACAACTTTTTTTTTTGTCAAAAGCTAATAGTGACAAATCTAGTGACTCTTTCTGGTGTTATGGAGACTTTTCTGGTGAATTGGAGACTCTGACGTGAAAACACGTATCGTATCGCAGTTATAGTCCTCAGTGAGCAGTGATGCTGCCGTGAGCTCCTCCCCATCCCAAAGCGCTCACAGGCAGTCAGCAGTCTGGTCAGCAGTCCTAGCTGCAGTCAGCAGGACAAACACATGTCATTTTTACGTTGCTGCAGGTAGATAATTTAAGTTTGGCTTTTTATTTCATAAATACAAGGAGGACTCAAATAGACACTGAGTATTTTATTCGAAAGTAACCTTCAACCCAGCATCTTTTTTTTTTATCAGAGTTCAAAATGTTTTTGTTGCATGCACAAATAAAATTTAGTTTTTTCTGCAGCAGTTCATTGATTTCATAAATCCAACACACTACAGTTTTTTATACATAGCATAAAGACAAAAAAATGATAGATGCAATGTCATCTTCATTTTAGATGTCAAAAGGGTTTTGTGGCCCTCTGTGTTTTCTTTTCCATGGGAAACAGGTCCAAATGGCTCTTTGAGTGTTTAAGGTTGCCGAACCCTGATTTAACTGATCCTCTTAGAGTCGTGTGAAAAATTAACTGTAGAGTTACGGTCTCTGACATATTTTGCCAAGCAAACATTTGGTCCTCATTGATACGGTGCCTACAGATAAATGTAATATGCCCTGTTGAATAATTTATTTCCCAAAAATATAATTAATATCAATACAGATGTTATATTATTCATGTGAAAATTTAACTCCACCTTTGGTCTAAGGATCTATCATTGCCCGTTTCGCAGAAAAAAAAATTCTAGCAAAATTATCGATCAGTCACTGACATGCTCTTTTTGCCAATTTACATTTAAAAAATTACCCAAGCTGCCAGATTTTGGAGGGTTTTCTACACATAGCATGAATCGTAGCTACACTTTTGGTCAGATGGCTTTACATTATCTTCAAGAAGTCTTGGGCATGATGCAGAATTTGCAGCTGAGCCAACTGAAACTGACTGCAACCTGAAGAGATATAAAGCTGGAATTGTCAGGCATGTGGATGTTTCCTCTGCTTCTATTACTCTCAAATACATGGAAACGGATGATAGAAATTTTGTGTTTCATTTCTGGTGTTTGGCAGGGGAGCAACTAAAATGAACATTATTAATGTATAGTTAATATTTTTGAAATTATCATGTTGATAAGAGGGGCTGCAAGGTGTCTCGGTGGTTAGCACCGTTGCCTCGCAGCAAGAAGGTCACAGGTTCGTGGCCCGATGAGGACACCTGGAATCTTTCTGTGTGGAGTTTGCATGTTCTCCCCGTGAAAGCATGGGTTCTCTCCGGGTTCTCTGACTTCCTCCCACACAGTCCAAAAACATGTTGAGGTTAATTGGTGATTCTAAATTGTCCGTAGGTGTGAATGTGAGTGTGCTTGGTTGTCTGTCTCTAAGTGTAGTCCTGTGATAGACTGGTGACCTGTCCAGGGTGTCCCCTGCCTTCGCCCTAAGTCGGCTGGAATAGGCTCCAGCCCCCCCGCGACTCCAGTGAGGATTAAGTGGTGTATAAATAATGGATGGATGGATGGATATTGATAAGAGTCCCAGTGGCCTAGGAGAATTGTTCAGATTTCTTGTTTGCAGGGTATTTACTTCGAAACCCAAAGATACTCAAAGATACAGAAAATTAGATAACTGTTTACAAACGTCTTCCAACAAAGTGTTTTAATGTGATGTGTCATTGTCAATTATATATCTGTATTACAGGTGTAACAAAGCCTACCAAACGGCATCTAATTGCAAACTTTAATTAACTAAATTAGTTAAATAATTAATGAGATTTACAGTATCAATGTAACAGTATGGAGTACAGAACTGAAACTAGGGATGTCCCTGTCACAGAGTAGAGCAGTGTAACAACAGTAGCGGGTTGAGGACAGTAAAGCACAGTAAAGAACAACTATTAACATATGATCTGTTCTGATACCAATCCCAGTTAGCCATGATCCATCACTTCACCATTTATAGAATCATCATTTCTCCGTGGAGCAAATGCAGAGAAAAAATAAGAAATTATATAAATTAGATGAATATTGGTAACTTTAATGTTCAAGCTGGTGCCATGACAACCTAACTGGCTGCAAATAAATCAATTCAAGACAGCACATTATCCTGGGGTTGTCACAGATTATATTGCTTTACACAAACTTTATCACAAAGACTCATTTTGGGACTTCCCAGTCAAACAATTCCATAATATCAACAACAGTATGTGCTGCATAAAGTGCATGAGCATCCTATATGCTTTACCTGTTATCCTGTGTTTTCCAAATACGTCACCTTTATTTGTATCTTTCTATTTCCATACAGGATTACTATTAATCTATTTTTGATGTTGAAATGAAATGGACAGCACATGTTCTGTGAGTCTTTTTTTCTGAATCTGTCGACAATTGGTCTCTGTGCTGTATGTCAAACACTGTGTGTTTCTGTCTGACTCAAATGTAAATGTAAAACAGTGTCTGTACCTCTTTGACTTTTCGATGTCTGTCCTTGCAGTCTCGGTCTCTGTCTTTATCCCTGCCCTCGTCTCCAGGGTGGCAGGAGTAGGACACAGTCCTCCAGTCCCGTGGAGAGTTGGTGATGCTGGCAACCTTTGACTCAGTGGCACTGTTCTCCTCGTTCAGTGAGCGGGACGACCTTCTGGTGAACATGCTCTTCTTCAGAGCTTTCATCCTGAGGCTGTTGCTATTACACCCATCTGTGCAGCACCACTCCCCAACATGGCCACTGTCCATTTTGACATTGTGACCAGTGGTGTGGCATTGGAAAATTTGAGGTGAGAGGGTGATGTCAGAATGTGGATGTGGGTGGGACTTATCTGGGGTTGCATTGGACCCGGATGCTGATGCTGTATCCCCTTGCCTCCCATTGGACTCAGGCTCCTGGATCTTCTCATCCAGCTTGTTGAGCTTTGAAAGTACCTGGGAGATCTCACTTCGAACCCCCGACAGAGACTCCAGTTTCTTTTCAATCTCGCCAATTCTCATCACCAGCTTACACACACTTGATTTGAGCTCATCATCTGTGTTTTCTAGTGAATGGAAAAGGCGATCCAGCTGGACCTTGGCTAGTTTGATTGTGTTACGGTCAGGGGAGCTGTCACCTTCAGACTTAAGCGTTACCTGAGAGAGAGACCCGTTACTGTTGTAACATGATGACTGGACAATGCCCAAAGAGTCACAAACACTCATATCATCCAGAAAACGAAAAATGTCACTTATGTCATCACTAATCATCTCAGAGTCCTCATCGGAGTGTTTGAAGGCATGTCTTTCTCTGTCACTATACTTAGATGGATATTGCTTCACCTTCTTCTGTTCGGCCTGTTCTGTTTGAGTCCCAACACTCGAGGAACTGTCCCCTCTTTGAAAGGATGCAGCACTCATTTTTTTGTCCCTAAACATTTTGGTTGCCTCTCTTTTTTCCATAACTGCAGGTCCACTTGCCATCAGAGTTATTTCCTTTGTTTTAATTCCATTACTTTTCTTTGCAAAGCCAGGAGAAGCTACAACCTTTTCCTTTGGGCTGTGAAAATGCTGCCCACTATCAGTGTCAATTATGCTGATGTTGCAATGGTGGTTTTCTTTGAGTGGTTTGTTGTCCAAAAAAGGCCTCTCAAAGTCTGGAGGCCCCTCTTCTGTGTTAAGACTGAGGCTCTTCACGGGCCACGCCGACTGTTTCCCTGCTTTGTTACTGTGCTTTCTGCTGCTGATGCAATCAGAGACTGTGGTTGGACCGAAGTATGTAGATGCCTGTAAGTCGTCCAGGCTCTCGTGCTTCACCCTCTGTCTGTCTTGAAGTGGAGAGTTGAGTGTCGGTTCAAAGTAGGGATTACTGTAGGGCAGTTCGAAGCTATGGTTGAAAAAGGTAGCAGGCTTGTGCATCTCCCTTCTATGGTAGCCGTCTGCAGCCTTACTGCCCTGTTTGCCCTCAGTGGTGACGACCTACAACAGTAACCCAGATAAGCCAGCTTTAAAACACACTCATGCAGCAAACACAGGGAACTGCATATTGATAGTAATTATAGGGAATAAAAACTCAGAATAACAAAATATCACAAGACTACAGTAAGAAGTCATAATTAGTGTCAGGAAAAAATAATCCTAGACCACAAGTCCTCTGTGGTATTTTGTTTGTAATAGACGGACCGTCAGGCTGTGTATAAATTAGACACTGCGCAGAACCTTCAACTCTTAACGCCTAATTTATATGTGAGGAAGTCATACAGGTTAGGGCAGGTACAGATACAATATTACTTGAGAATGAATAACTCGAGAAAATTTGCACAATGACAGACACGTTCTTACTCCCTTGTTTTCAGTCTATTAAATACATGATGTGGAATATTCCAGTATTTCCCCTTTTTCGGCAGTGGGGGCTTAGAAAAGTACATTTTCTTAACCACTGCACTGAAGTACATTTTAAGTACTTGTACTTTAGTTAGGTTTTTCATTTTATATTACCTCACATTGCACTTTATATTCCTTATATATATATATCAAACAGCTAAACACTGATCAGCCACAACAGTAAAACCACCTGCCTAATATTGTGTAAGTCTGTGTAGGCTGCCAAACAGCTCTGACCCAGCTGGCCATGGACAAGAGTTCTCCTTTGGGTGCTGTGGTTTGTGGGTTGGGGCCTCCGTGGATCAGGATTGTACCAGCGCATCCTACAAATTCTTCAACAAATTAGGCTTTGTCTTTCATTGCCTCGAGCTCTTTGTGGTCTTGCCTCAGTCATTGCTGAGCCGTTTTTGCAGAGTGGTAGGGCACACTGTGTGCCTGCAGGAGGTCGCTGGTGTTGGGGAGGGTCACTGCCACAGAAAGTGTGCTTGGACTATGACACTGTTCATGTAGGTGGTATGTGTCAAAGTAAGCCCCACATGAATGCCAGGACCCAAGATTTCCCAGCAGAATGCTGCATTGTAATGATATGATCAGTGTGGCCCAATTCATCTGTCAGACACCAGAGAGCACCTCCAGAGGTCCCGTGTCTATGGCCTAACAGGTCAGCAATATTCTGTCAACCCAAGGAGGACCTACACAATAAAAGGCAAGTGGCTTTAATGATGCAGTTGTGATCAGTGTACATCAGCTACCAAAGTGATTAAATTATAACTTATTACAGTAATTGTCAGCTCAAGGTGTTTTATATTTGTTGAACTTAAGATTACATGAATATTTGCAATGGTTCCTCTTGCTGCTATGGTTTCCTAGAATTTTAATTATAACAGTAAACAGTCTTTTTTTTATGTCATGGTTTTAAATAAAATCACCCTTGAAACATTTTACTTCATTGTGTACTGAAAGGCACTGAGACACAGCATCAGAGGTACAGCTATTTTAATTATATGTTCTAAATATTCCTGTAACTCTAATCCCAAATTCTTAATTCATATTTTTAGAGTCTAAGAAAACGTGTGTGTAACATCTTTAGGACAACACACATTTTTGTCACTTTGTCACACAATCACCTATTTAGAGGAACATTACCATAAAAATTAAAGTAGCCTTTTCTCTTTTACATCTTGTAATAGCATCCTAAAAACACAGACCTGTGGTGAGAAGGATGCAAAGCTGTGAAAGTCCTCCTTAAAAATGTTCCTCTTCTGGATGCAGGAGTGAACAGAAAAGGGCTCTGGATGGCCAATGTGCTGCAGGGACTCCTGTTCGATAGCAGACTCACTGTCTATGTCCATGGGAAAATAGGTGCTCTGCATTTCACAAGGTGGTGAAGGTGGACTGGTGCCAGAGTACTGGGGCAGGTGATGCAGTTTGTCCAGAGAGGCTGCTCTACATGACAGGTCTTTGCTGATGCCCAGAAGGAAATTGGGGTCTGAGGTGGGAATAAACTGCTGGCGGTTGTTGCACTCAGCTGATTTGGAACAGGGAGGAGCACTCTGAGCCACAGGGTGCTGCTGGGAGCGATGGTGATGATGATGGTGATGGTGTCCGTCCCTGGACTCATCCATGTGCTCATAACTAATACCTCTGTCACAGTTTTGATGCTTAAAGGCATCATTGTCAGACGTACACAGCTCCACCGATTGGTTCTTGTGAAATTTGGCTCTGTGCATCATGGGGAGCTTGTCTTTGGCTATTCCTCCATTCATCTGGATCAAGTTAAACATGGTAACAATGTCTGCAGCCACCATGAGCTTCTTGGACTGTGGGTCCTCCATGGAGCAGCGCATCTTGTCCTTGAAGAGAGTGGCTGGGAAGGCGGGATCCAGGCAAGCCATGTAGAACAGCAGGCTGCGGAGCTTGGCTAAGTGCACCAGATCAAAACGAGCACACAGATACTTGCACAGATTCTGGTAGGACATGGTGTTCCGCTTAACGTCGAGTTCCTCCAGGATCCGGTCCAGGAACACAAAATATTCTGAGTCGGGGTCCATGGTTACTGAGTGGCAGGAACAGGCCTACGAAGAAGGTCCTACTTCAGAAGGGTGACAGCTGGAAACCACACACCCAAATGTTCATTCAGTGTGAATTTGCTGCTTTTCTTCCTGGACAGAAGACAAATAAAGGATTCCAGAAGACCAAGGGGAGGCAGTGACAACAAAGGCGAACCTAAAATGACACTTGGCTGGTTTAATTAGGCATAAAAGGCTTTCTAGCAGCAATTCATCCTGAACAGAAGCTGCATTCCGACAGTAACAGAAGCAGCAGAGCCTCTGATACACGTTCCAGCTTTAATTCAGTTGCGTTTGCACATCATCACTTACGCTGAGGTCCTGGCAACAGAGCGGAGAATCATCTGATCAGCTCGGTGCAACACAGCATGTCGCTCATCACAGAGCCAACAAAAGACTGGATAAACTCAGAGTAACATCGTCATCTGGATATGAATCCGCAGTGTGATGTCCTCCGACACAAGCAGCCGAAAGGGTTTTACAAGGACAAGCTTTCACCCATCCAATTATCAGTCGGTCTAAATAGGGGGGAAAAGCGTAAAGCAAACCCAGTGCAACCTCATATGCATGGGCACAGGCAAATACTGATCAGATAATCCAGTGTCCCGGCTGCTGCGGACGTCAGACACAGACCCATGCTCCCTGACAGTCCCAGCGGGCGGGACTGTCTCCATGGCCTGTGTTCGCTCTCCCTCCTGGAGCTCGACCTATTAGTGTCGTGACGCTGTGGCGACGGAGCTGTCCGAGAGTTGAAATTGCATGCTGTGCTGAAAACCGACGACTGTCAAGTCAAACACAACGTACACGATCACCGCCGGTTTCCGCTTTCAGCAGAAATGTCTAAAAGAGGCGTTCCTGAAAATCAAGACTTTATTTTACAAGATGAAAGAGGTTTTTGTTTGTTTGTTTTTTATGACGGTAATTAGATGTAACAATAGAATATTGCGCATATGGGAAGTTACAAACTAACATGCTGCTTTTAAACTGTTACAGGTTAACATGTAGTCTGACATTGGTACGGTACTCAATTTCTATTTTCATTACCAAGTAAACTGCATTTTAATATTTTAATGTTTAAAATTCTAGTTGAATAGAAATTTTAAAATGAGCTACTTCTAAATGTCATATATTGTTTGGTAGAGTACACAAGCATATTTAACAGAAATACATGCTGCAATTAAAACTTTTTTTAAATTAATGTATGAAAATAACACTGTCTATTAACTATCGTTGTGAATCATCATCCAACCCCGCCTTTTTAAAAAAAAATTTAGACTACACGTATGTAACTCAGATCTGTATAGAGTAAGACTATTTGGTCATCTACCAGAACTCCAAGAGACTACATCTACATCAATGTCTTCTAGTACTACTTGGTTTCATGATATCTTCTTACCTATAAACCTATAAACCGTCCACAGTTTTGTTTTGTTTTTTCTTTTTATCAAATTTTCTATTATGTGTAAACAGTCTGTTTCTTTTTAGGCAGTTTACTAGAAGTAGGCACCAGCTGTATAGCTACTGTTAGCCAGCGGTATGATACATAACCTAACCTAGGACAAAAGGCTTAAATCAGTGCTTGTGTTGCCTTCCTTGCGAATGAACAAAAGCCACCCATGTAATAATTAACCCCATCTCCAAACACAGAGACAGTACCTGAACAGATGTAAAATACATTATGAATCACTATTTAAGATAATTCGGTAAATTAATAACAGTTGACATTTTCAAGGGAGAAGAGTACATAAAACATTAAAGTTGGCTACACTATTTCTGTAGAAATATAGGCCCACATTTCCAATTTAATTTCACACATTAGTCATGTATATCTTAAAATGCTCTAATCTTGGGTAAACAATGTGAAGCACAGTGTAGCTCTTTTGAAAAGTGCTGTCGAAATAAGATTTATGATTACCATTAGTCGTAGTAGTACCGTTTTAGGTTTGCGTTTTTATTGTGAAGGCCCCGCCTCCTATTTCCGGTCAACTCTGGGTGATTTGTGTGACGATGCGGTTCTTTGTTTCCACTTAGAATGACGTAACTCCACCTACAGCTGGACCCTCTGCCCTGTCACACAGCTCTGACGGAGCCACACGGATGGCAGTAACATAATGTTTTGATGGAGAGTTTTTTATAAACGCGCAGCATCCAAGGGTTTCAAGCTGTTCTACATCTAAGAAGTGTCTGTACAGTTAGTTGTTGTTGTTGTTTTTTTCTGTGACCCTAAGGATGCCAGCGTTTTTGTAAAGTTGCAAAAAGTAAATCAACCACACCCATAAAGTTCTAGCAATAATAATAATGACCATCAAAATAATTTACTGCTTGTTCTTATATCTTCCTTATATCTTATTAAAATGCCATCATATATCAGTGGCCATAACAACATAATTATACATGGATGAATAACTATACAGCCAAACAAAATTGCAATAAATTGTAAGCCACAGCAAGTCTTAGCTTCATACACATTTTACCCAACTTGTGTGATGATCACTGCACTTTGGAGCACTAGTGAAAATCGTACTAATATAGTGTATATTACTTGTTTTATGTGTTTAATGTTCTTGTGCTGCTTTCATCTTCTAATCTTCTAGCAATGTAACAAACATCATTGCCACAAATTTTATACACATCGGGATATCCCTCCTATAACTTATATATCTTTGGAAAACAAAACTTCATTCCTGACTCTGGAAATACCGCAATCGTTTTGCAAAGTAATCCTGACTCAAAGTCCAGTCAGAAAACTTAAATATCAGGTGGTTGTACATAAGGGAGGTCTCAGGACAATAATGCAAAAAAAGCATGTGGCATATGAATGTACAGAGCAAATAAACTTAGACACTGAGCTCAGTGCATGGTTGTTCAAAAAAGAAGAGGACCAGATTAGACAAGAGCAGGGCAGTCATCAACCACTCAGAGTGAACAACATTGTGGTTAATGTGGGGAGCAACAGTGGAAAATAAGGTAAAGCCTGCACCATTTTCTTGAATGGAAAACAAAGTTTGCATTGCAGTCTGTACCTGGTACAGCTTTCAGGCTTAGCGTTAATCAGTCCTGAGGTGACACAGTGGTACAGTGGTTAGCTTCCTTAAAAATACACATTATGAATAACAAATATGCAAACATACAATTGACTAAATTAGAAAATGTCTCCGGCTGGCATGTCTAATTTTGGTCACGGCAGTACTTCACTGGTCAGCACACTGCAGTCCTCCAATGGGACAATACTTACAGCTTAGGTGATTTGAAATCCAGAGTTGCCCTTAAGATGTTAAGCGTGCTCACCCACTACATGTTGGGATACACTCAGTGAACTACAGTCCTGTATAGTAGAATTATTTGTAGACAATGACGGAATGGTTCTTTCTCCAGATTTTATGGACAGCAAAAAGCCCAATTAGCGCTGCAGAGGAGAGGTGCTTTTGATCTGCTAATGAAACTGCATGACAAAATAACAGAGAAAATCAATGTCACGACAATATTCTTGCAGTAAATATTCTTACAGCAATTGTTCTGGACTTTTAAAAATCATATCAGTGGTAATTTTGACATCTTATGTTGTTTTAGTTTTAGTCTTTTGGTGAAAATCTGCATTAAGTTTCATTAAATTTAAGTCATTTGATTTTTGTTAGTCATGATTTAGTCACAAATGTTTAAGACACTTACATTTTTTGTCAGTGACATTTGGACTTATTTTTGTATTATTAATTATATCTTCTCATTTCAGGACTATCTGTTGCCTTTGTGCATGGTTTCCATGGTTACGGGTGTTATTCTTGTCGATTTCAAGGCTAGTGAAAAAAGGCACAACTTACTTGTTCCCACCACACACACACTCACACTGTCCATAACCTTTGGCTCTGCAGTGACAAAGTAAATTCCGTTAACTTCTAAACTTTAGCTGTTTGAAGAAATGAGTTGATGTTCCTGCTCACCTGGTATTAACATTGACAATGGCTTTACCAATGCAGACCAAGTCTATCCTGCAGATATCTGTTCTCTCTACTGATCTTATAGTAATCAGCTGAGCGGTGCTGGCATCCATTGAGTCTACTTTTTCATATACACCTCCTTCTTTCTTCTTCTTTTTCTTCTGCCGTTGGAGTCTATGATTTCTGTGACTGTGAACTGTTAAATGAGAAGAAGATAAAACAGATTTCCAAAGTGCATATAGTAAAAATGAAAGTTTTTTTTTTCAACCTTGTAAGCAAGATCAGTGTTTCATTTTTCTTTAAAGCATAGTAGACCTATACAAAAGTTTCAGCACCCCAAGTGATTTGAACGCTGAGATAATTTTTACCAAGGTTTGAGACCGTAAGTAGCCTGTAAGGGCAATGACCAGTTCACAGTCATCATTACGAAAAGTCTGGTGATACAAACTTCAAAGCTTTGGGAATACTCTGACTCCTCAAACCTCGTCCCAACAATCAGCAGCTGTGGACTTTCAAGCAGCTGTCTAGCATTCTAAAATCAAAATAACCACTGCTGACAAAGTGGGAGAAGGCTAAAAAAGATGGCAAAGCATTTTCACATTGTCATTTCCTTAGTTCTAAATATAATTTAGAAATGGCAGCTAATAGGAACAGTAGAAGTAAACTTGAGGTTTGGGAAATGAAGAAAACTTTCTGAGAGAATTGCTTGTAGGATTAGTAGAAAGGCAAATCAAACCCCAGTTTGACTGCAAAGAGCTTCAGGAAGATTGAACAGATCCTGAAGTGGTGGTGATCTGTCCTACTCCACAGCAGCATCTGTGCAAACACAACCTTCATTGAAGAGTCATCAGAAAAAAAACCTTGTGCTGTATCCTCACCGTACTTAAAGCATCAAATGTTTGCTAAACAATATTTAAACAAGACTGGTGCATTTTGGAAACAAGTCCTGCAACTGCTTTTGATTAAGTAAAACTTTTTAGCCATACAGCACAAAATTACGTTAGAGAAAAAAGTGTGCAGAATTTCACACACAGAACTCTTCTCTGA